CTGGAGTCCCTCCTCCCATCTAATTGTTGTTTCTCTATCTCTGTTCATTGTTTCTCTTCTTTCTCACTCCTGTGAATCCTTAAAATCTATCCTTAGTCCTTTTCACATATGCTTCAAAGATCTCATTCATTCTTACTCTTCCAGACCTTCAATGCAAATTATTGCCCAAACTCTCCAAGTCCGATGTCTTCCAACTCTAGCTCATGTTTGCACTTGACTGCTGGACTTCCTCACAGCCTATCAGCCCCTTAAAACTCAACATATCAAAACAAGTCCTTTTCCAGTTTCTCCAAATGGCATCATCATGTTATTTAGTTTTACAGCCTTTGAGCAGGTGAGCCTCCTATTAACAAGACAGGTTATGATTACTGTATGGTCCAAGTGACATTTAATAGACCACTCTACTACCTTCTCTCTCTGAATGTTGAGATAGATACTTCATTGTGTCTGTGTCATCAGCACATTAGTTGTGCTCAACATCAGTTGTAATGAAGGCAAGTCCCTCAAGCTGAAAGCAGATCTAGGTAGGAAGGCTGTCACTGAGCTGTGGGGTTGGAATCCGTCTTTCAGTCTTGGCCAAGGACCTTTCCCAGGTTAGGGGAACAACAACAAAAAAGACGGTCCCTGTTACATGAAACAGGTCAAACATCACAAGAAATTGAAGCCAGGTAGGGTCTTCTGGGATACAGGCTGGACTCGAGGGTCAGATAGTAGAGCAGAGCCAGACAAACCTAGGTTTGAACTTTGGTTCTGCCTCTACTAGCTATATAACGTTGGACATGGTACTTAACTTTTCTGAACTTTTGTTTTATTGCCTGTAAAATGGAAATAAATAATACCTAAATATCATGATATGTTGATGAGAATTAAACTCAATCATGACTGTAAAGTACCTAGCCCCAAGCCTGGGACAGATTAGATACTCAGTTGAATGTGAAGTCTTCTTTCATTGTAAGTCTAACATTTTTCTCTCCCAACTGCTGGAGTTCCCTCAACAAAACAAATTAAAATATTTTCCTCCAGTATCTGAAGAGCTATCACTGAAGGGAAGCACTCAGCATTGTTGGAACTGGTAGGTAGGTCCAGTGCTTGGACTTCCTTTTATAAGAACCATCACTTCTCTGAGCAATCACCTCTGAGCAAGTTGTTATGTCTGGAGCAGCTAGCTAGTCAAAGCTCTCAGATAATAGTTATGCATAGACTCAAAGTCATCAGTCTGGGTCAGGAGAGGTTCAGCACTAAGGATAAGGCAAGAACTTGTTCAAGTAGGCGGTGGTTGCCAGGTAGCAGGATAAGACTGGCAGGTAAAGGCATAAGAGAGCATTCAGGAAGTTTCAGTATGTGGCTTGAAGGGCTAACACAGCTAACCTTTCTGTGCCCTATATTCTCCTACAAACAAGCCTTGACAAAAGGACAGTCCTTCATTTCATGAGCCTGCTGGATAGGAGGGTTCAGAGAAAGAGCTGAAAGTCATGGGAGTGCAGAACAAAGACCCCTGGCTTCACTCTTGGTTGCTAATGTTCCCAGAGTGCGGACAGGGGTCCAAGTGATACCAATTCTGACAGTTATGTTATATGAACATTCTCTGCCTGGATACCTCACAACCATTAGAGTCCCACCTCAGAGAGCCAAGGAAGAATAGAAGGCCCTGGGACATTAACTTGGAGTGACTACATTGTCTATAAGCCATGGCTCCAGTATTCATACCCATGGGCTCCCCAAGCCTGCTCAGACTAAAACAGGACAAATATGGTAATGACAGTTCTGCCGCTACTTTCTGAGCTTTGTGAGAACTGAAGGGAAACTAGAGCCTCAATATTGCCTGATAGAATATAGAGATTTTTAATACCACCCTGAACTGGGAAACCTTCCCAGGATGAGACAGCTATACACACCCAGTAGGGAGTCTATCACCACATGATGAAAAGGACTCAACATAAGCCCAACTAAGCCCAACGGCAGCCCAGAGGGACTGAATGATTGTATATCAAGCATATACAATTACAGATTTCTAAGCTGGAGATATGAGGATGGTCTTTTGCAAAGAGAGGTTTGGAGGTACACACTGACTAGATCCAGGTAGCAAGGATTACTGCAGATCGCAGAAAGGTCCAGTCAAGATCGACAGTTAAAGATCAGGGTCAGGAATAGGAGTCGCTGCACTCCTTCTTCTTGCTCCATGGAACAAAAAGAGAAACCACTGGATACGAAGGACGTGTGAGGCTTCCGACTCATCCCAGGGCCTTATCACAAATGTGTGCTGCCAGAGGACCAGTGACTGACCACTGGATAACTGATGGGAAAAGCTGAGGCTTCAAAAACATTAAGACCCTTCTTGAGATATCACCAATCCCAGGGACTTCTGTTGCCATAACTAGCCTAGATGTGATTAGGCATCTGTATGTCCAAAGCCTGCTTGGGTGTGAGGGTGGAGATACCCAGGGCTTCAGCAGCACTGAAAAAGATCTAGAAGACAACATGGTTGACAGAGTGCCCACCTTTGAAGGCAAGATCCAGAATGGGGCCACCAGGTACCACATTAGTGGGCAGTGACTCAGGAGCTCATGAGAGCAGAGGGTCACAGCCCACATAGAATGAGGTTGGCAGTGGATGTGGGAGAAGGTGTTAAGAGTCACATGCCATGGGAGAAAGAAATACGTATGGGCTGTGCTGATTAAGAAATGGACCCAGGCTGCCTGGACAGAGCATACACAGCACAAAGGAAACATGAGTTACTGGTCACTGAAGTCTCTCTTGGATTTCTGCTCTCCCCAGCCCAACTAGCATCCTAACTTCCTTCACCATCCCATTACGTCTCTACACTTAGTATAGCTCATCTTCTACAGACAACCTCCCTCCCCACCCTTTCATACCCTCCTTCAGGGGCAGACAAAGGCTCCACCCTGTGAGGACATCCCTCACCCCCAATGCTTATCATGCACAAGGGTTGCCTTAAGCATGCCCCTCATCATGGTCACGCAACAGAAGACCCTTCCCATCCTCCCACCCCTGTCACTCACAATAACCCCGCACTTCGGATCAAAAGCGAAGGTGCCACAAGTGAGGAGGTGAGAGGCATTGGCAATGGCGAGAATCTGGACAAAATTGTGACATTCGTCCTGGGGGTCAGAGATGGTTAGAGAGAATCAGAAGCAGCAGGTACAAGGAAAGGTAGCGTAGTGTCAGCCAGTTAGATGCAGCTCTGGGATCAGAGATGATGGGTGATGATACGGTGTTAGACTGCCTGCCTGGGCCCTCTGGGATGGCAGCAAGGCAGGCACAGACACAGAGTCAGGGCTGGGCCAAGGTCTCAATTGGCACACAGAACAGGGCCCAGATTTACACCTACCTCCTGCTTGCCTTTCTTCCTACAGTTCTGTCTGTGGGCCTCAGGCACCATCCAGTCAATCTGAGAAAGAAAGAGTGACCGTTCCCCAGATTCTCCCCCAACTCCTCCCAAGTCAGGGCAAGTAACACAGTTCCACAGCCTCCATCAATTTGGGAACTTTAGAGACACCCCCACCCTCAGAGTACTGTTTTTCAAACTGGAGGTCTCCACCGAATAATGAGTAATGAAATCAACTGTGAAATCACGACCCAACATTAGAATAATATCAGAATGTATCACATATAGGAGAGTTGATATTATCTCAAGAAACTTTTCTTTCAGTAAACACTTTGTGTACTGGGTCAAAATATACCATATATTTCTTACTAAGGGGTGGTCAAAAAAGTTTAAAAGCTATTGCCCTAGAGCAGGGGTCAGCAAACTGCGACTCACGAGCCACATGCAGCTCTTTGGGTACGTACATGTGGCTCTGAAGTAAAATTGAAAATGAAAATAAAACTATCATAGTTTCATTTATAAAATTTTTAAAGGATATTATTCACATAATGGTGATTTCATTTGTTTTACGGCTCTCGAATAATTTTTAAATTGTTGGGAGGGACAGGATTGGCTCTTCCGTCTCAAAAGTTTGCCAACCCCTGCCCTAGAGTAATGTGATTCTAGTGATTCCTCTGTCCACTGTCACCTGAAACCTGGTCACTGTGGCCTCCTCCCATTATCATGAACCTCCCTCATAGCCTCCCCCATCACCATGACCCCCCCATCACCCTCAACTGAGACAATGAAGTTGATGATCTCCCCTTATTCATTTTCACCAACACCCCTCCTCCTACCACAATGCCCCCCTTCACATCCCATAAAAGCATGGATCTAATCACATGCTCTGGGGTCTGGGGTCCTCCCGACTCTCATCTCTCACCCTTCGGGGTCTCTCCCCTGAGAAGGGCAGGTATAAAGCGAAGATGGCGTCTCGGGCACCAACATAAAGTGTATGGGAAGCAGGATCCACAAGAAGAACAGAGTAATCGTATGTCTGAGGGACGCTGAACCGAGTGAGGTAAGAGTCAGCCTCTGGCAGGAAGAAAAAGTGAGAGGGAAGAATGATATCAGCCATTGCTTCATAAGGGTTGGATCCACAAGGGCAAAGCCAAAGGGGCCAATTTTTGTTTTCTTCCAAGTACCATTGATTAAGCAGCCGTCAGGGGAAAAAGAAAACAAAGTTTGACAGGCCGTCTAATTTTTCCAGGGATAGATAACTGATGAGACCAGAATATTTAGCACACAATCTAGTCAAGTATGCTTTTTTCTATAAAAATAGAACACTTTATAAAAATAACAGCATAAATACTAAGTCTGTAATTTCTATTGATAGAAACATGACATAATTTGAAAATACCTATAGAAGGTACAAGTAAACTCTCTAAATTCCCTTTTTTTTGTAATCACTACTTAATAGTAACTTCTTTTTACTTAGAAGAGAAATGCTTCCCTCTTTTCACTATCACATTAGGAAACTGTCTCTTTTCTTTCCCACCACCCTTGACCTCTACCCTCCCCTATTCTACCCAAAGAGGTAGAGAGTATAGTGGGCAAGAGAATGTGCTTTGGAAATGGATCGGCCCAAGTTTAAATCTGGCTCTTTCACTTACCAGCTGTGTGATCTTGAATAAGTTACTTGCCCTCTCTGAGCATCACTTCCCTCATCTGAAAATACCACCATCCATGGTTGTTGACAGAATTAAATGAGATAACATATGTGGAAGGATCTGACCCACACTACATGTTTCACAAATGGTTCCTTTCTTCCTTCCTTAGGTATGAGTTCTGTTTTGGCCAAATCTATACCTCATATCAGTGTTCAGAACTCTTATCTGTTTAAAGATTATAACGAATAAGTTTAGCATGAATTTACCTTCTTAGCTCAACCGCTGGCTCCAGGGACCCTATCCCTGCGCCAGTATACCAGTCCAGCTCTGTTCTATCTGCTTCATCTGCTCAGCTACCCTCACGACTGACCGATGGCCAGGAGCCATTCATTCTAAGATGTGCTGATGTATGGAGCCCCATCCATCCTCCCATACCCATATTCATGCCTGTGCTGTATCCCACCTACTCTCATGCTTGGAATAAAGCCTACCTGGTTCACCCAGCTGCCCTTGTATCCCCAGCTCTGCCTCGCCTTGCCATCTAGACCTCTCTGGATTCCTGGACATCAACCCAGCCTGTCAATCTCAACTCTATGCTGTGGCTATTGCTTCAGCACACACTGAAAGCCCAGGCTCTTACAACAACTTTGTCTTCTGGATTCAAAACATCCTTATATGTCATATAAGTTACTATCACCCAGTTGTGAGTTTTGCCAACAGGTTGTACTCTCAGCTTCACTGGTTCTGTCTGCCCAAGGTGCTAACACTCAACGCTCACTGAGGAAAAAAAAACCAAGATCCATGCACACCTCAGCAGAGAACCTTTAAAATGTGAATCACTCCAAGGACCACTTTTAATCGTGTGGCGTCCCCTGGCTTCATCCACACCTTTTGAAAGAATCATATCTCCCTCCTCCTTTTTTCCTTCTGAAGACTTTAAAAATCAGTTAAACAGAATTTTAAATCAACTCATTGAATGGATTCCCAACATTCATTATAGAGAATGGGTAGAGGGAGCAGGCAACGTTGAGGATGTTAGGGTTATGGTGGCTCTGGATAATGGGAGAATGGAAGGTGGTGTCAGATGTGAGAGGACTGGGAAGTGGGTGAGGGAGATGAGGGCTGTGAGTAGGGCAAACGGCTTGGAGGGAGGAAGAACTGATGATACAGGAATGAGAAGTGGGCAGGAGGGACTGCTGAGCGGGTAATCTTAAGGATGGGTGGTTAGAGTAGAATGAAAGGCCTCTGAGTTTAAAAGCAGGATGGACGTCAAACTGTATGACCAACACAGGTGCATGTGTGGTAAGGGGGGAATAAGGAAGAGCGAACTTTGAAATGAACGACCTCGGGCAACCCCCGTGCCCACCCTGGGCCTCAGTGTCCGCGTCTGCACGAGGGGCTTAACTCTCCCGCGGTTCTGCTAATAAGAAACCGCGGGTGCCTCCTGGGTGTGTCACGGGAGCCTGCGGCGCGAGGCCCCAGCCCGGGATGCAGTGGAGCAGCACCGCTCGGGCGTCCCGCCGGGGTCCGGGAAGGGCGTGGGCGGCAACGGATGCGGTACTCCGAATTGAGGAGCCCCGGGTCCGGACGGCAGGTGCGTGCGGTCACCTGCGGACGAGGCCTGGGCACGGAGCGAAGAGCCAGGGGTGAGGGCGCCCGCGCCTTACCGGTGATGGGAAGCGAGGTCCTGGGCACCGAGCGGGGGACGCGGCCGGACACCGGGCCGCTCAGCACCGCCACCAGCAGCAGGAGGAAAGGCGAGGCTGGAGGCGGCCCGGGACCCGGGTGGGTCCGCGCGGCAGAGGCTGGCATCTTCCGCTCCGCCTGGCCGCCGGGTGGGGCGCACCCTGCTGCTTCTGCTTAGGGCCACGGAGCAGGGGGCCTCGGCCCACTCGTTTTTCCTCGGCCGGGCTCGGCCTGCGACTGGCAGAAGAAACGCAACTCGGCTCCGCCTATTCAAGAGGGGACCAATGGCTGTCCTGATTTCCTCCTCCAGCCAATCGGGGTTAAGTGGAAGCGGAGCTAAGGAGATGAGACACTAACCCACGTAGAGGTAGAGATAGACCCAGGTGTAGGTGGGAGTTCTACCTCAGAACTGGTCTGGAGGTGTCAAGTCGCGGTGATTGATTAAATTGATTAGGAGGATTCTGGAATGATAGAGCCTCAAACATAGCAGGCATTCAATGAATATTTATTGAATAAATGAATGCAAAGGTTTTGGCTTGGGCAGCTGAAAAATTGTGGAGCTGTATAAAGAGACATAAAACATAGGTTCTACCATCTATTCAGTTACCCAGGCTGATGTAGGGGTGAAGATGACAGTTCCGTTTTGGACATGTTGAAATCAAGGTGCTTGTGGAACAGTGAATAGAGGTGTTCAATAAGCAAATTGGATGTATGTGTCAGGACCTGAAGAGAGAAATATAGACTGGAGATGTGTACTTAAGAGATATTAATTAAATTAGCATGAATGAGACTACCTAGAGCAGTAATTTTTTTTTCCAAAGTGGGGATCTCAACCCATTAGTAGATAGCAAAATCAATTTAGTGCTCTGCCGCCAGCATGAAAAATGAAACAGAATAAAATGCAATGCAACAGAAAATATCAGGGTTTAGCTCCTGAATTAAAGATAACATAGCATAAGTATGACTTTGTGAAAAGTTTACTTCACTAATATATTATGAATGTATGTACTTACATGTGACTAGGTTGCAATGTAAAATGAACTTTTTTTAAAAAGATTTTTATTGGGGAATTGGGGGGATGGGAACAGCGCTGGGGAATTAGGGGAAGGGGAACAGACAAGTTGCTGTCCTTTTGTTCTTCAGTCTAGTTGTGGAGGACGTTGCTTCACTGGCCCAAGTTGGCACCATCATTGCGCTCTTCCCGGGTGAGGCAGATCAGTCGCCGGCTTCTGGACGGCCGCTCACAGCCGCTGCTGGCTACACACGGTAGCCCATGGCAACCCACTGCCACAGGGGCTGCAGCCTATGACGTCGCCGGCGACTCATGGCAGCCCAGCTCCAGGTTGAGCTGTTGTTCAGCATCTCAGCTGTTGAGAGCAGCGTCACTGGCCCTCATATGTGGGATCCGAACCGGGGCCCTCTGGCATCCCAAGCCAGTTCTTAACCATCGCGCCACTCGGCTGGCCCAAAATGAACTTCTTATTGTGTGTTGATATAAAAAATTTTGAAAAAGATTTTTGAAAAAAATCAAAAGACAAAAAATTAGTACCTAAACCATGTTCAGAGAAGGGACTGATGCCTAGGCCAGATTGCTGAGGAGCAACTAGGGAGAGGCATATATCAGTGCAGAGGAAGCATAGAGGAGGGTCCTATTGTGTTGAGGCTGGTGCGTTAGAAGGCTTCAGTCCTAGCACAGAGCCTGGCACACAGTATTTATTGAAGAGTGACTGACTTAATGAATGAATGAAGCGGAAGAGAAAGGTTAAAACCAAGAACACAATAGGGGTGCCACTGGAATGTTTCATGAGGGTTGGGGGTGGGGGGAGGGTAGCTGACCAGGAAGTGTCAGGTTTAGCAAAATATTCTCAACAGAGATCCAAAACTCTACCTCAGGGCCAAAGAAAGGCTGTGCCCGGGCGCCCGGGGGCTAGACGACCCGGTCCTGAGGTGCAGCCTGAGGCGCCCGCCAGAGGGCGCCTGCGGTGAGCCGCCCCGCGCAGCTGCAGCGAGCCTGATCCGGGAGCCTTCCACTGCGCAGGCGCGTGCGCGGAGAGCGGGAAGGCCGGGTAAGTAATGGGGTTTTTGTCTTTCCACAGAAAAGGAGGAATCCGCTCTTCTCCACACCTCGGGGTAGAAGGGCTGAGAAGGGCCTCAGGGAGGAAACAGAAGTCACCTCGCAGGATGGTCTTGGGCCAGCTCTGGCCTGCTCCGTGGCAGATGTTTGTTGGCCTAGGCCTGGGGCAGGACTGAGGCCCAGAGGCCCGAATCCCCCACGGGTGGGTCGTCCCTGAGCATGTGTTTCTGAGGACAGGACAGGCTGACACCCTGTCATCTGGTCAGGCTCTCCCAGGCCTGCGGGCTGGGCCACCTATATGTCAGACATGGCGGGCACCGCGCCGCAGGCCCACGACCCTTCGGCGGGCTCACGAAAATGTTCTAACTTCTTGTAAAGTCCGAAGAAAACAGTGAACTCTTACGGTCAAAGAAAATGTTTTGATTTTTTTTCTTACGTCAGAAAGAAAGTGAAACTTCAGGACCTACAAAAATTTATTAATTTTTATTCTGTTTTTTAAATGAGGAAAGGGGCCGCGAAGGCAAAAGTGCTTAGGATCCACGAAATATTTAAAGCGGCCCGGCAGGAAGGAGAACCGTTAAATCATTGATCACATGTAAAGTGTCCAAAGATCTATAAAAGCATGGTCAAGGCGATTTTAGGAGGGCGCATCACGGGGCACTAACCTATTAAGACCTAAAGTCTGGGACCTAAAAGATGAGTAGGGTTAAGGAGGGGAATACTCAGAAAAGAATGACAGTGTAAGCCACACAGAAAGACCCACCATTTTATGGACTTGAGAGGCGCCCCTGGTCTGGGTGGGGTGGGAAAGGATTGGGCAGGGGCTAGCATGGGAGAAGGCTGGAGAGTTGAAAAGGAGACACATGCAGAATTTCGGGGCCAGAGTAAGGATTTTGGATTTTGTTCCAAGTGTAATTGGAAGTCATTAAAGGGTTTCTAGTGAGGGAGTAACTTGATGGCTTTTGTTGGTTCAAGGCCCCATTCCAGGTTTAACCAGTTTACAGGGGGACGCCAGTAAGTGGGTGTTCTTGGCAAAAGTGGAGCTTGTAGGGTCAGAAATACTCAGATGCTGCTTAGTACTATGCTGAGACTCATCAGACGCATTAATTGATCATGTTTGCAGATATATGGAAGAAAGCCGCCTCATTTAAAGTACAGTCTTGGAATTGAACAGTGTGGGATCTAAAAATGACTGTGCAAGCTGAAACTGTTCAAAGTGATCTTAATAATCGATGGGAAATATTACATTTGTTCCAAGACCTCTCAAAATTGTCCTCAAATTGTCCTCATATTGTCAGTTATAAGTATACAGGGAAATGAAAAATAATACTTAGCACACTGTAATTTATAACATTAGTAACATTGAGAATTAAAGTGTTTTATTTCTTTGTAAAAACATCAAAAGTAGTTTGAATAGTGTTTGTGCTTTTCTTCTCAAGGTATAACTTATAATAGAGCAAACATCTTCTCTATGCCTTAACAAATTGTTATACTCCTAAGTTTGAATCAGCTTCCAACATTTTATCCTTTGCACTTCCAATTTTGTAAAATATCTCCAAGAGCTCCTCTAATATGAAGGTTTTTGCCAGTGGCACTTTCACTGGGACATTTTCATACATTTTGTCATAAATACTTTCCTCATTTGTATTGAAGATTCACCTTCACTAAGTCAAATGGTGTCATTGTCAATATTCTCATAGTCAGCTCTTTTCTTCTATAACTCCATTTGTTTGATTCAATTTTCACTTTCAGTATTATATCACTTATAGTTTCTTTGCTACACTTTTATCCTTGTTTGGCAATTCCCTTTCAATTATCCATTTTTGTAAAATGTCATGTGGATTTATCAGTAGGAAACAAGGGGTAAAACAACTATACAATTTGCTGTCTGTGCTTAAACTGATTAAGAGATCTACAGTGACTGGTCACTGACAAACTTCAAAAGAAATGACATAATTGATCACTGATCATGATGTGCATCTGTTACATATAGTGATTTGTGGACTGAAGAGCTAGCTGTGATTTGCACTTTATGTAATTGCAGTTAATATTCTATGATAACTGAAATTTGAACTGTGTTGATGGGTACTGGTGTTATTTAACCAAACTGTATTTGATTTGAGATTTGTATATATTGGAACCATGAAAAGTTAGAACTGCCTATACTCTAAAATGGCAAGAGTTTCAGATGTGAAGGAAGATGGGCAAGAGGAATATAAGCTCATTCTATATGAAATAAGGCTTATGTCTGGGTGTCTGTTTGTCTATGTGAACCTGCCTGTGTGTCAGCCTCAAATTCAGCATTACATTGGTCCTGTGCACTTAATTTTACAAGTACAGTTAAAAAAAATGTACGATATGTGCTTTCTTGGCAAATACTTGAGTCATTGATTTGGATTTCTGGTTCAATATTACTTTCAACAAATTAGCATATTCATTCATTTATTTGTTCATCTGTACCCAGTACATAATTGGAGTGCAATAAAAAATTGTTCAATGAACAAATGCTGACTTCCACTATCCACAAAGGAAAATTTGAAAAGGATTGACTTCACAGATTCATTTTGAGAAACACATTTATCTAGGCACTCTTAGATCATTTTTAAAGATCCTAAATTCCAAAATGTTTCTGAAAATTATTATAAATATCTTTCTCTTGGACCCAGAGGAAATCAAATAAGCTTTTATTTCCCCTTCATTTTTTTAGCTACAAAAACAATTACATAGAATCATTTTAGTTCCCAGAGGTGGGGATATGTTTTTTTAATCTAAAAAAGATTTTATTTTGTTTGTCCTCCAAAAAATGTTCTTTTTGAAGTATTTTATTGTTAAGAGTCATCCATGTTGTTGCATGTAACTCTAGTTCACTCATTTTCATTGTTGTATGTGTGAATATACTAAAATTTATTAATTCTAGTGTTGATTGGCATATGTGTTGTTTGCAGTTTGGGGTAATTGTGAATAAGACTGTTATGAATAGTCTTTTTGCCACTATGATCTGACTTTGTTCATGTATCCTTGTGCATGTCATTATTCACAGATTATATGATTGTGAACAAAAATATCCAAAAAGATCTAACAGATAAATTATTATAATTAGTAAGAGGGTACAACAATTGCAGTAAGGTTGTTAAATACAAAATCAATATACAGAAATCAATTTTACTTCTATGCATTAGCAACAAACTGAAAATGAAATTTTAAAATATGTAAATTAACATTAAAAAATAGCAAATTTCTAAGAATAAAATTTAATAAAAGAGAACTTTTGGAGAAAATTATAAAACTAGATTCTTTTAGATTTTCTATATATACAACCATATCATCTGCAAATAATGACTTTTTTTAATATGGCTGGTAAGTGGCTACACTCACATTTCTTTTTTGTTTTTTTTTTATTTTAGTTAGTTTCAGGTGTACAACACAGTGCAATAGTTATATTTTTTACCCTCAAAGTCACAACCCCTCTCCCAATCCACCGCCCCTCTCCCCCCACCGCCGATATCATACATATCTATTACCATTCCATTGACTCCACTCCCACACTATACTCCACATCCCATGACTATATATATATATATATATATATATA